AATATAATTAAAAAATTATTTTTATATATATATAAACCAAAATTAAAAATATTTATATGTAAAAATTTATATTATTTTTCTTTTCTTTTATTTTTTTAAAATTATTCATATTTATTTATAAATAAAAAAAAGAAAAATAAAAAGAAATAGGAGCGGGGACAGAGGCGGGGGGAGAAAACTCGAACCCCACCAAAAACGAGAATAAGAACTTAGATTTTATCTCCGACGAGTATCATAAACGAGAGCAGGAGCGGTTTAAATTAGCAAGGCGGGGCAGGAAACTTAAAACACGCCCCGCCCCGCCCCGCCCCCCGTTGCCATGCCTACTTCCACTACCATGCTCCTTCTCAGTTATTGGCTTTTTGACTTTTGACAATTTGCTTCTAGATACTCAGCCCTTCCCCTGCGCCTTATTTTTCTTCATCTTAATTAATAATAACTGCAGAATCTTTGAATTAGTTACATGCAAAGTTGAGATAACTTACTTAAATCATAATAGTGATTGAAATGTTACTATGTTGTTCTTTACCGCTATAAATATGAAATTTATTTAAACAAAGCATTTATAATATAATAAAATTAACAGTCTCAACAAGAGTTTAACATGTTATATTACAATTTTCGCATCCCGAAATTTTGTTATAAAAATTGTGAAGTTTATATAATCCTGAACAGGCGTATGATATATAGTTTTTCTTTACTTTTTTTAGGGATACGAAATTGGAAAAACTAATATTTTGCGTATAATTAATAAATTAAAAGATACTATTCTCTGAAAACATTATTTTTAATAATGATTTTTATTTGTGTTTTTCACGAAATTGTTCTAATAGAATAGATTATAATCTAATATTTTAAAGTTGAATGGAAAGTTTTAGTATGATAAAATGTATATTACCTTTAATTTTTTATTTAGTACATTAAAATTATTTATTTTCAAGTAAGATATATAGATATTTTTAGAAATATTTAAGAATAATCAAATATATTTTTAATTATTTGTAGACTTTTAGGTATGAAAAGATTTCTCTTTTATATCTCCCTTCTTTACAAGATATATAGATTTAAAAAAGTTAAACACTCGTTTTCTTTGAATTATAAAAATAAACAAATTGAATGTATGATTTTAATATTACGGAAAACAAATTGTTAAAAATAAAATTGGAGTGTGATTCCGAAACCTTTGGAGAAAAGGTTCTCTCTTTCGCATTTGGTGTGAAAGCATGATGGATCGTAGGTTTTGAATTGCAACAATGTTGGAAATGAATGATAAATTACGTGGAGAGAGTATAAGGTAAGCGAGGGTGTTTGAGTCATTTAGAGACGTTGTGTGAACGGGGATCGGTTGCGTCGTGAAGGAAAAGGAAAAATCTGTTGGGAAGTGCTTCCTGTTGCTATAAATACACCCAGCATACGGTAAGACTCCCAGCAATAGCATACAACTGTTTCAACTTTGAACCCCAAAAAACAAAACCCACATCCTTCTCTTCTCTTTCCATCTTCACTACAGAATTTGTTTTTGTTTTCCATATAATTGGGAAGAGGGACGAGTTTTTAGAGTGACCTTCTTCCTATATACACTCCACACATTGTGTTGTTGCGAAAACCATGGAAGGAATGCTTGAATTGAAAGACGGCACCGATATTGGGTCGTGTCTATCAAAGCTGATACTAACGAGTGGCACAAACACCCTTGACTCAATTTTCTCGAATTGCCCAACAAACGGCACAAGCAGCAACAACTCTGTTTTGGAAAGCTTTGGGTATGAGGCATTGGGCTCTTCCGTGTACCTCCGGCAGAGAGACATCCTACAGAAGTTCTACCAAGAAAGCCGAGGAAGCGGGTCGTATGTTGGGAGTTGGAGTTCATTCAGAAACGGTGTCTATACGAACACGAACACGAACACGAACACGAACACGAACCCCATCCCCTGCAAGAAAAAGCTGTACAGGGGAGTGAGGCAGAGGCACTGGGGGAAATGGGTGGCGGAAATTAGACTCCCACAGAACAGAATGCGAGTGTGGTTGGGCACTTACGACACTGCCGAAGCCGCTGCTTATGCGTACGACCGCGCCGCCTATAAGCTCCGTGGAGAGTACGCGCGTTTGAACTTCCCCAATCTGAAGGACCCCACCCAGCTAGGCTTGGGAGATTCCAGCAGATTGAAGGCTTTGAAGAGCTCCGTGGACGCCAAAATTCAAGCCATATGCCAAAAGGTGAAGAGGGAGAGAGCCAAAAAGAGTGCCGCCAAGAAGCTTAATTCCGACTCCCACAAAACCAACACTTGTTCCGCTTCCTCATCCTCCCCCTCCCCCTTTGATTGGGCCAACCACCTCTTCTCACCCTCCGTTTCCCACGACGCCATTTGGAAGGGGGAGAATTCCACCCACCCAACGGAGTTCCAACCTTGTTCTCTTGCCAGGTTGCCTTCCTTTGACCCCGACTTGATTTGGGAAGTTCTCGCCGTTTGAAACTTAAAACCCTTTTCTTCTCTTAGCTTGTATATCTTCTTTTCTTTTCTTTTCTTTTCTTTGTACCAACTATGAACCGTGAGACAGGATTTCTCCTTTCGTTTTCGCCTTCCTTTTTTCCTCCAGGCTCCAGGCTCCAGGCTCCAGGCTCCAGGCTCCAGGCTATACATCTATTTTAATTTTCCACTTCTTCACCATCCATTCAACTTTGCTTCTCTCAGGATAAGATATTTTCCTCACTTGCCTGCGCTTCTAAATATTCTGTGCTTGCATTGCAAATTCATCAAATTCAAACCCCCGCTTCTACATGACAATTCCAAATATTCACTCTATCATCATCATTACGCTTAAAGCACGGAGTAATTGTGCTTAATTAGAAAATCAAATTTAAGGCTTCTGAATTTAACTGTTCTTAATATATCTTGGAAATTAAAAATTTTAAATACACCTTATATAAAAATTGGTTGAGACTTGAGACATCTCAAAATACTTAATAGTTTCTTTTTAATATGGAAAAATTATCGAATACTTTCTTGCATTCATATGGGAAAAAAATAATTTAAGAATTAGACACAAGTGGTTAATGTCTTGAACCAAAACTTAAATTATTTTAATAATGTTTGAGTTCGATTCTTTAATGAAAATAATTCTTAATTAAATTTTACTTAAAAAATTCTAACTAACTTGACTATATTTAATGTTACCATTTTAAAAAATTAAATGTGATTATTATTTTCAATAAATATTATTAAGGATAATTTAAGAAGTAAAGTTTAACTTTTATATGAATATAAAATTAAATAAAATTAACTATTTTTTTTAATATGTGTGAATTTAAGTGTTTTTTTTTTTATATATGAGTTCAAAGAAAGTATTTATATATATATTTTTAGCTTGAATAGGCATAATTAGTATAACACAAACTAATGAATTTCTAGAATTCAAATTTAACACTACTATTATTAATTCACAAAGCTCATTTAACCTAATATTGTATTAACATTTAAATGAAAATTTTCTTATTTTTATAATTACATATTTAAATTTCTTATTTCGAACGCCTTTAAAAAAAAAAAAAAAAACTTAACTGAACAATCCCCTAAAGTTGAAACTAAAAAAAAAATAAAAAATGCGCCAGATGTAAATTTTATCAACAACACTCAAGTAATATTTATTATGTCGCAATTAATTTTTGATAGATACTTTATACAATTCAATTTTATAAATTATAAATCAATGACGCAACGTACAAAGGCCGTGGATATTATTTAATTGTATCAAGTGGATTCACCATGACAGCAAACATTTTTTGGTGCTTGGTGGAAGGGGAGAGAGGTGTGGAACATGCATGTTCATGGAAGAATTTTATAGTGCCCTCCTTAAGTTAGGTGCATGCATGTATCTTATGGGTGTGTATAGATGTGTCTTGACTTAAAAGATACATGTTAAAACTAATCTCTGTTTGCAAGAAAGACATGTATCTAACATAAGCACAACTCAAAATTCGTCCTGCTACTCGGAATGGGCTGTTGCTCCATTAAGTCAAACTCGTTAGTTTTAGGTCCAACCAACACGCCAATCAAACTACATATAATTAAATTCAGAAGATATTAGATCTATTTAGCTTGAAATTATTTTTTTTAAAAATACATGTAAAAGTAATAATATATATAAAGACTAAACCAGGCCTGACCCTAATAAGCTAACATTCCAGGTCGGATAAAAAAAATAAGGTCTGTTAAAATTAATTTATTTTTCATGTTTGACTCAACAAGTTGGATTGAATCAACTTGACTCATTTAATAGTTTCAATCATAAGTAATAAAAAGAAATAGAAAAAGAAATGATATATATTAATGAGGTATTTAAATAAAAATATGTAATATCACTACTTGGTAGGAAAAGAAGACAAATAAGTAAAAAATACTATTAAAAAAATGAAAGAAAAAAAATGGTACTCTCTGTCAGAAAATTAAATCAAGCCAACAATTTTAAATTGCTGCAACAGGAACTTTTAATTTTGATTATTCAAAAATTACTGCACCATCTCAAATTGAAATTTGGAATTCAACAGAGGCTGCACATCTCCAAGAACTTGGAATTCAACTCACTTGAAGGCTTATTTCAGTTAACAAAATGTATTGTAGGGGTATCAATCAATGTATACAGAGTGCACTCTTTTCCTTGATCGGTCTTTTCTCCCCTTATAAAAAAGTGAAAAGGGGTTTTGGCCGACAAGGTTTTTAACGAGGCACATATTAATGAAATACATTTCAACTCATTCTGTGTATTTTTATTCGTTCAAGTTGTTACAAACAGGCTTCCCTCCCGAGTGACCCCACTCGGCTAAGGATGTGCCTTCGAAATCATACAAACAGGCTTCCCTCCCGAGTGACCCTACTCGGCTAAGGATGTGCCTTCGGAATTGTACAAACAGGCTTCCCTCCCGAGTGACCCCACTCGACTAAGGATGTGCCTTCGAAATCATACAAACAGGATTCCCTCCTGAGTGACCCTACTCGGCTAAGGATGTGCCTTCGGAATCGTATAAACAGGCTTCCCTCCCGAGTGACCCCGCTCGGCTAAGGATGTGCCTTCGGAATCATACAAACAGGCTTCCCTCCCGAGTGACCCTACTCGGCTAAGGATGTGCCTTCGGAATTGTACAAACAGGCTTCCCTCCCGAGTGACCCCCCTCGACTAAGGATGTGCCTTCGAAATCATACAAACAGGATTCCCTCCTGAGTGACCCTACTCGGCTAAGGATGTGCCTTCGGAATCGTATAAACAGGCTTCCCTCCCGAGTGACCCCGCTCGGCTAAGGATGTGCCTTCGGAATCATACAAACAGGCTTCCC